CAAAAATGGCGGAAGTTACCAGATTCTAGAAACTTTAATGTTAGGGATTGTTCCACCTGTTTGGAGATATCTGTATATATTTTTATAAAACATGACAGTACTATAAAGTTAGGTTATAAAAAATTACCGCTATTCAGATTTTATTTGTCAATTTTTTTAAGTTGGCAGCAAATTTGCCCAAAAATGGCAGATGATTGCGGTACTTTCTATATCTAGTGACTTTAGACATTTTATTACAACCGCGCCATCTAGCTTACATAAGGCGTATTTTTTTTCTCGCCTAGCCGAGAAAATTGAATTTTCTCGCTCCATGCGTGCAATTGTCTTCTTTCGCGTCCTCACACAGGCGAGAAAATGTAAGTTTCTCCTTGTATAGGATAAAAAAACTATTACCTGGCGTATAATGTACAATATTTTATTTGTTACTCATTTGTAAACGTAAATAACTAGTTCTTAAAATTGATCTCGAAGAAATGTCTAAAATATCATATTATCCATGTAACAGAGACTTCGCATTAATTCTGGCCAATGAAATTACTAGATTACTAACTTGTAAAATTTTTACACGTCAGCTGTCAGTTTTACAAGTCAGTAGCGTTTAAACATGACGTTTACCCGTTTGCGTTTTGTCTTGTTAATCAACGTTTACAACTGAGTAACAAATAAAATACTATTATCTGTTTGTTTGTAAGTGAACGAATCGATTGTCAGGTTAGTAACTCTTCTCTATCATTTTCCTGTGGTAAATGATCCGTTACTTGTTGGAAGCAGTTCTTCGTCTCCAAATGAGTCAGATTTACCGTGTAAAAATATTTAAAGTACGTTAAAGGGGTTCCGTTCAATAGAAAATGCTGACATAAATTAATAAAAAAAATACGAATAAATAATTAATATTTGCAATTCATTTAATTTCCGTCTCTTTTCATTTACCAAAAAGGGGAATATTTTATCAATATCGAAGTAAAATAGATAGATGTTAGAGAAGTTAGAAAACTTTAGTAGTAGTAACCTTAGTATTTTACTTTATAGTATGCCAACCCCCGCCCCCGAACCCGAAAGGGGCAAAAAACGCGAAATACTGTATGTATGCGTAGTGTGTTGCGTTGTCCTCCTAATGATGTACAAGATCCGTTAGAAACTTGCATCCGCAAAGCAACAATATTTTAAAGAGAACTTACTTTTAGTAGATAGAGCTGAACCAAACACTTTAGACGACAATAATTTTGTAAAAAGAGAGTGACTAATAAAATTTGTTTTTGTTTCATAGTGCTTAGTTTATGCAATACTCCTCTGTACCCATTAACATAGCAACCATTGCATTTAACCCACACATAACACATGAACCTCCAAGAACACATTTTTTGCCCATTTTTTTATGCATGCCTTACTGTGCCAAAAATAGTGTTGCTGTTCTCCGGGAACATTGATAAAATACAACACGTTAAAAATATGGACCAACTATATACCCACCGCAACAACGTCTTGATATGTTCTACTTTGTTTGACTGGCGGTTGGTACCTATACCTAGGTACGTTAGGTATATAATATACCTGAGCATGTCTTAATTTTTGGTACATTTTTATTTTATTGGCCACGCCATGCATGTCCACTTCCTCTCTTGTTCTAAGTGTACATGTACTTTTTGATTGTGTTAAGTCTTAAACTTGTGCTTGCCCATTACGTGTGTGTGGTGTACTTGCCTTTGGTGCTGCCACGCGTTTGTCTACACTAGACCGTCCTTCTACAAGCGAGAGGATCGACTGCCTTCGCCACAGATCCCATAAGAACACCGCGAAGGTTCTCAATCTGTGAGTTTTCATAACTATATAGTATTGTGCTTTTTTAAATTACTTTCAAATTTGATAATAATAATATTATAGAATTTTTCTCTTAAGCATGTGTAGGTTCATATTCAGAAAGTAGACATTATTTATATACTTATACATAATATGTAAGTTTTGTAGGTATACTTAGTTGGTTTAGTACTTCCTTTTGGAATTGATTACCTACTAAAATTCTTTTTTTTTTCAAAGTAAACGTTATTTTAGCTGTCTCAATTTCGTCTCTAATGTGTTTTTGTATAACGCTAACGCGCATTCTACTCCCCGAGGTACAATGACAATCTTGGAGGAAATCTGCATAACAATGATGCTAACAAATCCTTTTGCAAAATGGTTCTCTAGACCCACCAAATCAATTTGGCCCATACTTCTGAATTTATAATTTATTTTCGTGATTATTCAGTTGTGTACGCACACAGAAAGTCAACATAAGCAAAGCTTTACCAAACTGATTTCTGAAAATTCAACGTGGTAAATTAGGTACATGCGTTTCGATTATTTTCGAAGTTCCTATAATGTGGATATGAAAACGTTATTGAGGAAATAATATTCCTTCCTTCCAATAAGGATCGTGACCTACTACAATCAACACCGGTAAAAAGATCTGGTAAAGTTTTGGTTGTTTTTGAGTCCACCGCTGAACGTGCTGGTGAAATAACCTACTAGATGTATAATAAACTGCTTTCAGCACACTTTCCTGCGTTGAGCCCAAAAGTAAATAATCAGTAGGGACAAAGGAACTCCGATTGAGGCCGCTGGATCCACCACATTCGTTTTCCTAAACACGTGTTTGAGCATGTCGTTAGTGACTGTATTCTTTTAACTAGTGTGTTCGGTTTTCTTGTTAAAGGTTAACGAGTACGTAGTAACTCACTCCCAACCTTTCACCCGATAGAAATAAACAAAATTAAAAAATTTCACAAAAACACTCAATCCTCATGTCTCAATAGGTCTTCACCATCACTAAGGCCACATACCTACATGTATATTTTATCGGCTGGTTTGATCTCGTTGTCTCACATTTGGATAGACCATTAAACATTTCCAGCGTTTTCCCTCCATCGGCTTTGACTGGCAATTTAATCACTTCTACGTCTCGTAACTTATTCACGGCTACCTCAAATTCTCTTTTACCAAACGGTTCCATACCTGATATCGGCACATGATCTCTTGCATTTTTGGAAACAGGCCGTCCACATTTCTGTTTTTTCTTCTTCCGAAGACTGTATTTCAGGCAAAAATTTCTTGGCCACTATTTTGTAGCCTTTCCTCCATGGTTACGTACTAAGATCCTTCATCAGTTTCTGCCATGCGCGATTCATTGCTACCCTAATGCATTTTTTGCGCATTTTTTAAGAATTAAACCAAAATCTGCTATCGAACTACTTCTAGGGGAATGGTCCTAGAGTCCTGGAATTTTTTGCAGTAGGTAACGTACACCTTGAAGGTGTGCCAGGCGGCCATCAAATTTCGCTGTCTCAAAGCCCCCCCCCCCCGAATTATTTCCTGAGATGCTTTTTTTGAAAGTAAAACGTGCATAACTTTTACATACGATAACCATTGGTCTCGGGGGGGAGTAAACACATGTTCTATCCTTGATAGCTAGCTTATCAAAGTACGTGGTAGAGGGGGGGGGGAGGGGGAGTGGCTTTTATCCTTCGTGGTACTCTAATGAAAGGTCTCAACGAAAGGAATTAATTTCTAGCAACCATAGCCCTCCTCCTCGACCCCTTATCGTGATCGGGTACATTCCCTTATACCTCAAGAACGGATTGTCGGAAGAGGGTACTCACAAAGGGCGATGAAGGCGTCTGCAAGAAATATATCCATTGGTGATATCAAAACAAAAGCTATTTCGGTTTAAAAAATGCACTTTATCTGCACAAGGGTTGTGCACAATTTATACTTGTTTAAGATCTTTCCATGAAGTTTTAAATTCCGACTCAAACGCACCCATTTACTTGCGTTTTCATCCTGGCGTTTCGAAATCATCTTTTTACATTAAGAGGTTATCTTCTAGCGTATGCTACTTCTTATGTCCACCAGGCACCAGTATTTGAGAAATATTTTCCCGCAAGCTTTCTGTATCGCTCTATCACCCCCGATGTTTCAGTTCCGTTTACGTGACTTAACTCTCTCCTAATTTCAAGCTTTCAAGCTTTGTCTTTTACTTCTGGTTTATATACCCACCCTCTTGCTTCATCTAGGGGTTCCTTCAGTTCCTTGTCATCTCCCTCTTGTTGTTTCCTACATTTCCCTCAATAACCTGCCACTCCTGAATGTAAAGCCTCTCCGCCAATCCAGTGCACGTGAGGTCGAGCACTGATTCCGCAGTTCTTCTTGGGGGGGTAGCCAAATCTGTGTATAGATAAAACTGGACCACTGGGCGGCACCTACCATCTAAGGTCTAGTATTCAGCTGTTCTGCCGCTTATCACAGACTGGCACATTCCTAATTGCGGCTTTGAACTTTGGGCACGCCATTGCCAATGGCGCGTTCTCTTCTGCATGGTATGTCTTTTGGGTTTCGCATTTATCTTCATAGTGGCCCTTCTCGCCACAGTTTAGACATCATTTTTGACCGTGCGTTGACTGGTACACATTTCCTCTCTGCTATGAATGCCACAGCATTTTGACATTTCTACCTTTTTTTTAAAATACTGCGCTCCCAACCCATAACCTTGGTATGATCTGCAAGTGGTTTTCCCACTCCGTCGGCACCCTGAGTGTGGTGGACCTCTGCACGCTTTCGGATTTCTCACTCAATTTTATCAACTTTCCCCAGGTCATCCACCACAGCCCCCTTAATCATCTCTGTATTTGTTATCTCATCCATATCTCGTACGTAGTAAGTGGTTCGCTCTTCCTCCTCTTTCATCCTGCACTGTGCCCTCTAGCCTAGTTCCTTTTTCCTTGCCCTCAAGTGCTTTACGCTGTCCTTTCAGTAGGTCCGCTTAGGTGCTTGTCCCGCCTTTGACTACAATAATTCCGGACTCATAGGTTTTTCTTTTTTACTGCTTCCGTCTGGATTTGGGAATTTCCCGTCATTGCAGTATTTTGTACGGGGTTATGTCTCTTTTAACCCTACTTTTTTTAGAGACGATTATTCTAGTTAGTGCCTTGCCTATAGTTTCGTATACTTTCTTGGCTTTCTTTTAGTTGTCTCTTCCCTCTACCGGTGCGAGGCATAAGTACCTATCCTTTCACTTCTTCTCCTTCGGGAATCGAACTCGGGCCGCCCGCGTGACAGCTACAGAAATTAGACGAACGACGACCACGACGGCTAGCATCTTAATATGGATTTTGTTAGTAAGTTTTTACTATAAGGGGGTTGGAAAATGAATTCTAAAAGATGAGTATCTATTTTAAAATCAAGAACCAAGTTGATCTAATGAGTCTAAACTACCATACTTAAAAGCGGTTTCCATGCATCAAGTGCAGTATTAATGTGCATACCACGGACCCTAGCAAGACCTAATGGTTCTAAATTTATTCGGGGTAAATGATGGGATTTTTTTTTATTTGCTAACGTGTTAAGATAAGACGCTATAGGTACAAATATACACCTTTTGTAAGCTTATTTGTTTGTAAAAGAGCCGTATTTGTTATCTGTAAACTATTTCTGTGTTTAAAAAAACCACATACAAACAAGCTTTGAACACCATCCTTGTGTCACATATTTTTATCTATACCTACTGCGTACCTCGATGTTTGTAAACAAAGGCGCTTACCATTTTTTATGGCGTCGTATTCCTGAAGCCAACTACAATTTTAAAAAATGGCCAACTGAACACGGCACGAAGCGGAGTACCTATCCTCAATGTTTCAACTGATACATGGTATAGTTTTATTGTATTCTAGTCCTACGCGATATATTCTTGTTAAACCACTGATGTTAGTAATTTCAGAGTTGAAAATATGCCTTGTGTATTATTTTTTGGTTTATGGCTATGTTCCGTCATTTGGTCTAGTTTAAAATTTACTCAACCCTAAAGTCTCTGGATAAGAATGTCCAGTACGCCTATAAATTATGCAAAGTGCCTTTTTAAGGAAATTGTGTCTCTGATTAACCGCATGCTTTCCTTGTTATTAACTGTTATGTTATTATCAGATGGAGTAGGAGGACTAAACATCGAACGACGAGCCAGCACCGTAGGGACATAATTGACTACCGTACTGGATACATCCGTTCACATTTACGATCACCATCGGGAAGAGTTAGGTGATTAACTTTCTAAATCTACAATGTTCGAAGTGTATGGACAAATATTTCGAAGACTTGTAGTACGTTCTCGTTCTCATTGCAAAACTCTGTTCGTATACATAATTATAGGTACTATAGTTGTGCATTTTGAAAGAACAAGGTAGGTGCCAGAATTAGAAGTTTGAGATAAGCAACTGAACAAGTGTTTAAATCAGGCAAACTTTGATTTTGATATTTTTCACTCCAAAAATTCATTACATAGATCAGTTATGCATTCTAACTACTCACAAAATATGAATTTGTGATGTCATATTTCGTAGTTTTTTTTAAATTTTTTTAACACATCCATTTATGTGTGTTTATTATAAAAATAATAAACTGCACATGGTGACGATATAAAAAATTAACCAAATCGAAAATTGTAAATAGGTAGGTACGCACATTACTCTAATTAGTAAATAAACAAATAATAACTTGTAATATTCTACCACAGGATTTAAAAATGGGATTGTGGCTGCAAAACACTGGTGAAAGTCAGTGGACAGAGATTAATATCGTTGGCGTTGTCGAAAAGTAGGTACGGGAAACCAAACCAATATCATATTAATGCCAAAAAGTTCCACATAGTAGACTGCCGCCAAAATGCCTCACATAAAAACATTTCTATTACATTTGTTATACCGAGCTGCCTAGTATCCTAGGCACCTAAAGTTGGATAGGTGAACTTTTGTGTCGAAAAGGTAAGTACCTACGGCGTATGGACTGTGTGAAATGGTTTTGTTAATTTGGTAACGAGGTAGTGGTATGCAGATCGCCAAACTCGAAAAGTTGGAACCGACGTATAAGCACAGGTATCCTCGTACATACAACAATTCATTGTTTAATAGGTATAGTACGTCGACTGGTTTTACAAACATACTAAATATATTATATTATAGTTCTCGTGCATCTAATTCTAAGGCGCATGTTGTAATTTTGAATGTTTACTTAAACACCAATTATTAGAAAAAATTCTGTAAATTGAGTAGCCATCATAGACACATAAGTATAATATTTAGCAAAGGCTAAATTTTTGTACATACTTTGTATATTTATGTTATATTTACATATCTGATTGTAACTAACGCATATGTACGAATATCTACATGTTATGTATAAAACAATTCTTTTCTTTTGCAATACATAATTTTTTGTATCCATAGCAATAAAGAAATATTAAATATCTAGCCGGTATTACCATTTCTATGGTTTTTCATTTATAATAATCGTCATTCGTATTTCTTATAGAATGTAATCCATTCGGACCAGGCGTACCTTCGTAACGTGATTTAAAACACGTTTTCCGGTTGGCGGGACATTTTCGTGCACATTTCCACAATAACCACACTTTTTGATGAGAATATACTGTGCATCTGGCATGTGAGTGTCAAAGTTTTCTCACAAATTACCGTTTTCCGATACGGAAATAAAATCATCACGGCAACGTTTAAAAATGACCACCGGAATGACTATTCCCTCCAAAAAACTAACCGAATCCCGAATAAATTTGAATTAAAAAACAGCACGTAATCAAACATATTATAAGAGGTCGTCCATTAATCACGGATGCTTTTTTAGGAGGGGGAAATCGCAGTGGACATCCAGTGTACACAGTGGTAGATGTCCACAGGATATCCAAAGATATCCGTGAAGATCGTATTTTTCTGTGTACCACCTACAAAAATTATGTCAGGTTTTATAACAAAAAAAAACGAAGAAAAAAATGTTCCAAAATTAAGATTGTTCTCTGCGCAAAACGGTTATTGGGTTAATTTGAATTCGCCAAAAATTTTGTGCCATATGTCAAACGCGTTTTTTTTATTATCTGAGTTTTTAGCGCCGTGATGTCATAAAATTAGTAATCCACATTTCTTCTTTGTTTAAACTACAAACTTTTACAACCTTTTTGGTTTAAGCATAATGAAGCTGTTCTGTCAAGAATTTGACACCTGGTTTTTCATGTTATGTATACCCAAGGTTAGTAAAGAATAGGTTGCCTCGTAACTTTCAGCCAATAAACGTTCAGTATTAAAATACACAAATGACGTCACCCAGAATCCCATTTTGCCCAGATCATAAAAATGAATTATTACGCAACAACAGAGCAAGTTCAAAAAATGCAAAATGGATCGAAATGGAACTTTACATGGATGTGCTGAAAAGTTCCTGCATTGCATATAGATAGAAACATGCTAGCGAAATATTGCACACTTTATTCAAAATAGCTTACATTTCATCTTGATCTGCATAGTCTTCGGCCGGGAAATGCAGACTGCAGTCTATTGCATACAGGGTTCAGGTTCCCCTTTCCATTACACTTTAGGTTATTCTTTTTGTAATACAGTACTTACCTTTTGGAAAAGCGAAAAACTATAAATCTGCGATCCATTTGCTTTTAATTTGTTGGAGCTGCAATTGCATATAGCAACGCTACAAAGATTTCGGCATCTAATAGCTTATATTGATACTTGAGTATCCAACAGTAAGTATTCAATCGAATTATAATAAGTATACGTAATAGAAACTTCAGCATTATCTGACAATTAAGTACACAGTTCAAATACAACTGTCAAAGTCAACAAAAATGTAATCACCAATCAAATGGGGCTTCCGGATTCTCGATGACGCGTTTCTCAAAAGTTATGAGGCAACCTTCTCTCTCTACTAACCTTGATGTATACCTACTTATTAGCGATAAAAGTGAATTGCTGCATTCGATCATTACTTATTATTAATGTGCAAACAAGTAAATTTCTAGTCAGTCGTTAGTACTGAGGTTGTAAAAATGTAAAGATTCAAAATTGAATACCAAAAACCGTGTCTCCCGATATCTTTATAATTAAAGGAGTAATTTGATTTCGAGCGTATTGAGAAATCTCTTAAGAATTAATAAGATCATTCTGGTTTGTTAACGGCCACGCGGAATTCCGACGACCAATTAACTTATCCTTACATTTTCGAACAGACCACGACCAAAGCAGTGACGCTTTATTTAATATGGATGTTTGTTGATCAAAATCAAGAGACTTTGGAATCAAAAGGCCTTTGCTACCTAAATTACAGAAAATATCGAAAGCGATTCGTACCTACGTAAAAATTCAGTTACATGAAGACGCACGTACATCGTTGCAAAGTCATCATGTTTTTGGCTGTTGGATGCTTCCAAAGGTCCAACACCGATCGACTACGACCGTTTATAGTAAAGCCAGGATATACATCGTGCTTCAAGTTTTGATTCCAGCATCAGTAAGATCTTGTCGGGGGCTACCACATTCTCTTTGTCGGTACCCACTTCCGACGTCCCGTTCATTTCGCTAAAAACCCGCTACAAAATAGGGAGACCGCAATTAGAGCTCTAAGAAACCTTTGGGCGTACTAAGTCGACTATCCCTCGAAGACGCACGCCTTGTAAAAGGTAGTTAATTTCGCTCCTAGGAAAAAAACACAAAACGCAGAAGTTGTACGCGTTTTTAAGATCTATCCGACGACACCAATTTGGAAGCAATCGGATCAAATTTATGAAAGAAGATAGGAAAAAACTCACCAATCTTCAGATTAGTATAGCAGGGTAGGGGATGGTACCCAGATGTCGGCGACCCTCCACATGTAGCCCCGTCCCTAAAGTTGTTAATTACACGGCCCCGGTAGGTGCATGGACACTCCTCGTCTTTCTACAAGCGTTCTTCTATGGGCCCGCATTTGCTGCCAACCAGCCAGCCAGCAGCTACCTTTTTACAAATAAATTTGCAAAAATGCGCTTAAAAACTGTGATGGACTTTTTTGTAGGGCTTGTATTTTAGTACGATTGCAACAGATTTCGAATGGTAAGAGTTCTAGGGAATATTTCTGAACTTCTCTCTATCATCAATGGCTATTCCCGGCTTTCCAATGCATCTAGGTGTGTGTAATTAAGGGTCCTAGAGCAAATTCAAAGACGTCGGCGGATTTCCAAAAACATATCTGATGTCTTAGTATATCCATGGAAATCCAAGGATGTCCACGGAGATCCGCAGATATCCATGGATATCTAGAGGATTTCCGAGGATGTCCAAAGATGTCCGGTGGATATCCATGGATGTTCACACCAAATGGATATGTATGGTGTACAAAATTCCATCTGCGATTTCCCCCTTGTTTTTTAGTAATCGTTTAAACCCCCTTCCTCTCTGGTGATACGCGGTGAGGTTTAAGACTAACCCCCTCCCTTACCCAAAATCGACTGACAGAAATAGCGCACCCAACTTCGTTGGAAAATGCGCAAAAAATGTGGTACGTTAAAAAATGCCTCTGGGTACATAGTACCTACATGCCAAATTTCATTAAAATATCTAAAGTGGTATTACAGAGATTGATAATAAATGATTTATTTTTGAAAACTTTACCACCCTGTATCTCAAAGTTAAGACGTTTAGGACATAGGTTCATATGAAGTTTCCTTTTTAAAATAGACCCAAAAATCGCCCCCTTAAATATTGATACTCAATTATGAAACACCCTGTATATGAATATAATAATATAATATAATATGTATATAATAAATAGAGAACCAGTACTTAGGACATATGCCTGGAAAAATAACCCCAAATCATAGAATAAATACAATAATAAGAGTTACAAACAAATAGGATAAACTGGCATTGCTAATTTGCAGTCAGGAGATGCTGTCATCTGCTTTTTAAAGAGGTGTAACTAACCGTAAAAATAGAAAATCGTACGTTCATTAGCGTGCCGATATGTGGTCCCCTCGTTCTGAGATGGCGCTATCGTTAGTCGAGGAGCGCGTAGTTACGAAGTGCGTTCTCGTAAATCTAGTTTAGAACGTAGTTCCTTCACTCTCACACTTTAGACTCTTTAGTTTCATTAAAATTTTTCTCTACGTTTTAAGACATAAATACAATTTCAACCGAAATACAGTTCAACAAACGCCCAACGTATTTGGTTTGATCCATGCGGCAATTTACGACATTTACTGTAATAGTACGGGAGGTAGCGTCCTATTTTGACGGGTCATTTTCGCACAATTACTTTTTATTCTGCTTGGTAGTTTTTACTTAGCACTTAAAATAAGCGTCAGCTGGCGCGACTGCATGGTGTGATGGTATGAGAGGCTGAGAAACACGTAAAAAAAATTGTTTTTCGGACCATTTTCATTATATAATAGTGTACAATGTAAAAAGAGGACAAATAACTGTCAGCTGATATTTAAATGTGGCAAAACCTGTTAGCTGGGCGTCCAAACTCCAAAGTGTAGCGTAGCGTTAGCGGGCGCTAGCGCAAGCGCACGCGGCGACTTTGAATTTTGATGACCCAGCTAACACATTTTTCCACGTTGTCGTGTCAGCTAACAAGCGATTTCCTTCTTTTTGTACCATAAACTGATGAGGTACTCATTTCCATACATGGTGATGTCATATTATTGGAGAAAAATATGATTGAAAGAGAATACATGAGTAAAATGGTATCACATACTGTATAATAATATTATACATAAATTGAAATATTGTATTTTATAATTTGTAACGTGGTTAAGGACATAAAATAAATCAAAAGAGACCAAACAAACAAAAAAAAGGAAACTAATAGCCCTAACCACGTCTGCGGCTGCTCACGGAGAGACTAGGTATGTTTGTGTGAGATTATCTTTCAGGCGCTACTAACTTTTATTTTCCTGTTTGGACAAAACGCAACCAATACATTTCTTAGACAATTCTAAAATGCGTTAAAAGAAAACAGACCGGGTCTGCGTGAGTGTGACTGAGACGGACTTATGCGACATCGTGCGTGTTAATAAAGGCAGGCGTCGCGTCGGTCGGTGTTACGAAGAGCTGGGGCGCTCGCGTTACGCTTTTAATAAATATTAAACCTCTTATATTTCTTAAACCGTTGTCCGTTGGTCTAATTGAAAAAATGTTCTAGTAAAAAAATTACCTTGATTAATTCGATATATTTTGTCTCGCTCATGTATTATACGTCTATCTCAGAGCCATGTCTCTGGTCTATCTGCACTCATAACGAAAAGACCTCGCGACTGAGATTTTTATTACACTTCTCGCGCATATACAGTTTACAGAGTGGTTGTTGACTTTCTTTTTGTTCTGTGACACAGCAAATATAATGAGCTTTCGAACGGTACACAAATTCTTGAAAAATATTTATTTATTTATTTATTTATTTATTGTCCCTCTTGTTCTAGACCCTCAACCGGCTTACGCCCAATTACAGAGTGACTCGCATAATGCTTTTTAGCGCATTTCCACAAAAAAAAATGCGCTATTGTGGCCACTTTGTCCGTCCGTCCGTCCGCTCGTTTTGCGACGCTACTAGTTCTTTATCTTAAAAGCTATTGTTCTATTTTTTTCGCTATTTGGTTCGTTATGGTGTCGAGTCTTGTACCAAGGAAGGAATTTTTTCTGTACCGCTTACAAAAAAAGTTATTGTAAAAAAACAAAAAAACTGTTTTTTACATGTTCCATAATTTTACACTTTTGCCATTTATTAAAGATCCTAGAGATCGTTTATAATTTTGCATTGCTATCTGTCGTCTGCCTGTTGGTCTGTCCGTCTGTTCCTTTGTCTGTCTGTCCATCTATCTGTCCGTGTGAACGATAACTTTGTTTAGAAATGTCCGATTGCTTTTACATCTCCATTAGTTATGAACTGAATTGCATGAAATTCAATATGGGCATAGCTTTAACCATATAATACGCAATGCCAAAAGTTGAATCGAATCGATTCAAAATTCACAGTGCCCTTTTCGCATCTCGACCATTTATAAACCGAATTGCAAACTTTTTTACTTATAAAAATATTTGAATGAAATTTGATACATAGGCACTTGGAATAAAGGAAAATCAAACGCCAATTTCAAAATTTGGTTTTGCGAATGCGCAGTGCCAACTTTTTTATTTATGGAAGAATTTAAACGAAATTTGATACATAGGCACTTGGGATAAAGGAAAATCAAACGCCAATTTCAAAATTTGGTTTTGGGCATGCGCAGTGCCAACTTTTTTATTTATGGAAGAATTTAAACGAAATTTGATACATAGGCACTTGGGATAAAGGAAAATCAAACGCCAATTTCAAATTTGGTTTTGCGCATGCGCAGTGCCAACTTTTTTATTTATGGAAGAATTTAAACGAAATTTGATACATAGGCACTTGGGATAAAGGAAAATCAAACGCCAATTTCAAAATTTAGTTTTGCGCATGCGCAGTGCCAACTATTTTATTTATGGAAGAATTTAAACGAAATTTGATACATAGGCACATGGAATAAAGGAAAATCAAACGCCAATTTCAAAATTTGGTTTTGCGCATGCGCAGTGCCAACTTTTTTATTTATAGAAGAATTTAAACGAAATTTGATACATAGGCACTTGGGATAAAGGAAAATCAAACGCCAATTTCAAAATTTGGTTTTGCGCATGCGCAGTGCAAACTTTTTTATTTATGGAAGAATTTAAACGAAATTTGATACATAGGCACTTGGGATAAAGGAAAATCAAACGCCAATTTCAAAATTTGGTTTTGCGCATGCGCAGTGCCACCTTTTTTATTTATGGAAGAATTTAAACGAAATTTGATACATAGGCACTTGGGATAAAGGAAAATCAAACGCCAATTTCAAAATTTGGTTTTGCGCATGCGCAGTGCCAACTTTTTTTATCTATGGAAGCATTTAAGTGAAATTTGATACTTAGGCGCTTGGAACAAAGGAAAATCTAACATTAGTTTCAAAATTTAGGTTTGCGCAGGCGCAGTTCCAACTTTCTTATTTAGAAAAGCATTGAAATGAAATTCTTCTCATAAACTGAAATTGAAGTAGCACGTCAAAAATGGATTGCCCATGTACAACGCTATCTTTCATATTTGTGGCCGGGTTTTTACGATTTTAACAGAAGTTGCATCTTACAAATGGGAAATTAATGCAAGTGGAAATGCGCTTTATGTAAATCGTTTACGATTACTTTTTAACTTGTTAGATGTGCCTCTGCAGAAGGTCTTAAGTTGTTCTATACTACTCCAGCATTTACCTTACGAATTAAGAAAACTGCAAAAATAGGAGAACCTATAATTCGGAGTAGTCGACAGAATGCTTGAAACTGATCTAAGAAAATTCCCATCTCTTCCACAGATGAAAAATTCTTACCTCGGCCCAGGTTCAAACACCCGACATTCGGCTATTATGTAGCCCATCGCTCTACCACTGAGCTACATAATCGGTTGGGGTTTTGTTATTTGCTTTCTTACCAATAGTGAGAGTAGAATTCCTTTTATTTTTGTGATTGCAAATTATATTTAAATTAGCCTTTATTTTCCTTGCTCCGTTTTTACTCTCTTTCTAATTGTTTTGCTCCTTTAATCCTTTTCTCTACCCTATAATTGAATGCTCGTTTATTTTTCACCCTGCTTCCTACATTCTGTCTCATCTTTGGTTTCTTTGTAGCATTCAATAATCGTCTCGCTATTGCGTGCATGAGGTGCGGAAGTTTCAATTTTGCCAGCCAAGTTTATTGGGATTTATCCTCGTTCAATTGATATCAATAAAGCTCGAAATAGTACATTATATATCAAGGTAGAGAAGTACAGTATTATTGCCTGAGCACCAAGATTACATCTCGAGGCGCTTGCGCCGAGGGGTGTAAGGTGCGAAGGCAATAATAGACTTCTCTACCGTGGTATATATACTATTTTTTTCACTACTAGCACTTGAAGTCCTCTAAATTAACATATTATATTGATAAGAAAGTGAACGGTTGGACAGAATTTTTTGTTTATTAATTTAACATGTCAATCAAGTACGTGGAAGTACAAGTCAAACAGGCCGTATTTTGTTCTGTCATTGAGATATTTTTAAAGAGTAATTTCGTTCGAATTTTTTCAAAATGTGATAATTTTAGGTATGTATTTTCTCTGGAAATGGCGAATGGTGGGTTGTGTTTTCTAAAAGTGACCGTGACAGTTCTCATTATTGACTACTAGTTAATAATGTCCACATTATTAACCATTTTGAACAAATGCCGAGAAAGCCTACTTTACAAGTGGAAAAAAGGTTAATAATCACGTCATCAGACGCTAGTAGTGAAAAATAGTATATATTATTTTGAGACCCGCCCATAGTTTGGGGATCTAAATCATCAATTTATATACGCTGTCTTTATTTCCAAAAATATTTAAACAATCTTCCACTTGTTTGTCTTATTTTCTCCTTAGCTTCCTCGAGCACCAGAGGGGTATTTTCTAATTTTTGGGCACGGCTCCCTAACAGGGAAATAAAAGTTAGTCGCGCCTGAAAGATAATCTCACACAAACATAGACCTAAGTAGTCTCTCCGTGAGCAGCCGCAGCCGTGGTTATGGTTAGGGCTATTAGTTTCCTTTTTTTGGTTTGTTTTGTCTCTTTTGATTTATTTTATGTTAACGACGTTACAAATTATAAAATACAATGTTTCAATTTATGTATAATATTATTATACAGTACCTATGTGATACCATTTTACTCATGTATTCTCTTTCAATTATATTTTTCTCCAATAATATGACATCAGCATGTATGGAAATGAGTACCTCATCAGTTTATGGTACAAAAAAAAGGAAACCACTTGTTAGCTGACACGATAACGTGGAAAAATGTGTTAGCTGGGCATCAAAATTCAAAGTCGCCGCGTGCGCTAAAGCGCTACACTTTGGACGCCCAGCTAACAGGTTTTGCCACAATTAAATATCAGCTGACAGTTATTTATCCTCTTTTTACATTGTACACTATTATATATACCATTTTCAGCTTTGCGAAAATGGTCCGAAAAACAATTTTTTTTAACGTCTTTCTCAGCCTCTCGCCATCTTAAGCCACGCTTTTGAACCAGCTGACGCCCCTATCGTTGATAGGTTATGGATCAAAAATCTATAGTAGAAAGATGAACTTTGCGAAAATGGTCCGGTCAAATAGGACGCTACCTCCCGGACTATAATGGTCAACATTCAACTGCCAAGTGTACAATCTAGTCTAATCTACTATGAAATATGACACTATCTATACAATGTGTAAAAGAAAATATGACAAAACAAAAGGTCTAAAAATTAGGAAAGAGAGGTTTAAATTTTTATATCTAGAAATTAAAATTATAAACGCTCTCCGGTGTGTTGTTTCTTCAATTCCTCAGCACGGAAGACAACTTGCATCTTCTCGAGTAACCAGTAATGCAATGAAAGGTAGATCGGCAAAAATTGTACTTTTTTTGCGTTTGTCATAATAGCCCGCGAAATTCGAATAGCTAATGAGGAAATCACTTTAATATACGTTCTAATAAAAGTAATACAGTCTTTTGCCATTTACAAGTAACGTAACTATCAAACAAGTAAAAAAATACATTTCCAAACATACAAAAACTGTACTAAAATTATACAAGTCGCCCAATTAAGAATGGCAAGTTAACCTTGTGCTATTTCACAATTCTTAATAAGGCAATCTGTATAGATGAGTTGCTGGTTATAAAAACCACTTATAAAATCAACAAAATTTTAATTAATCCCTCTTAAGTGATATGTATATACATTTATAATTCATCGCGACTATGAGCATGTGATTCAATGAACTCTTTTAAGTCTTCTAAGCTTCGATTTCCATTATATTCAGAGATTTTCTTTCCATTTTTGTAAAGAAATACGGATGGAAATCCATCCACCTAAAGCATCAGTTTAACTCGTACAGCATGGAGTAGTACAACTTACCTCTTCATCATTGCATAGTTGCTTATTCACTTCTAAGGTACAATCAACTTTCACTATGTGAACTTGAGGATTGTCCACAAATTTCTTTGCAAGATCTTCCCATGTAGGAGCCAATCGTTTACAGTGACCACACCTAAAAGGTAACTCAAAGTACTCATAGCATTAGGAAAATTACTTACCAGGGAGCAAAGAATTTCACAAATGTGATACCCTTTTCAATACCATGATTGAAATCATCACCTGTTAAAATCATAACTGCACTACTGCTAACGGTTTCAGATTTCTGTTCATTTACATCTGCTTTATTAGAGCCTAACATTTTATTCACATACGTTTTCAATTCTTCGTGAGTCCTTTGACCCTGATATTTATCAATGCGTTTGCCATCCTCCAACCATAAAAGTGTGGGATAACCCTTAATATCAAAATTGTTGCAAATTGATCTAAACTGTGTGCAGTCAATCTTCGCCACGCTAACTTCTGGTTCAAATTCTAATGATTCTGCGAGTCTCTCCCAAACAGGTGCCAATTTCTACAAAATCATTGATGCATTACATACTATTTGAAGGTTATACAAATACCTGACAATGTCCACACCATGGTGCATAAAATTTAACAAAATGTTTTCCTGAGGAGACATGTTTTTCAAAATTCTCATCAGTAAGTTCGATCAATCCTTGTAGCGGTTGAGGGACCTTTACAGTGTCATCTTCTTCGGCCTACAAAACAAACTCCTATTGACTTAAGTAAATAATGAGTAATGTTTCTCTGATTTTTGACGTAATGAGTAAAAATCATTATGTGCGTGTAATATGGTAATAAAAAACCTACCGAACGTAACTGTTCATTAATAAAAGAAGTAAGAGATGGTAAATCTCGGGTTCCTCTGAATTTTTCCCCGACGTTGTTTCCCAGTTTAAAGAACTTCAGAGTTGGATACCCAGTGACATCTTCATCAGAGCATATTTTACTATCTACAGTGCAATCTACCTTGGCTATTCGAATATTTGTATCATCCTCATTTAACATTTCAGCTAATTGCTCCCATATAGGGCCCAATCGTTGACAATGCCCGCACCTAAAGACGATAGAAAGTAATATAATGATTTTTAGGTCTTCGGAATAATATTACCAAGGAGCATAAAACATAATAAAATGATTTCGCTTGGATATCTCTTCTGAATAATTGTCTGTATTATACTGCACTGTATAGACATCATTTTCATGCGTTTGTGCACAGATAAAAATGGAAAATATAACTAAAATTAAATGAAGCACACTATTCATTTTAGTGGATGGAAATTTAATTTAATATAAGTTAACACGCTATAACTAGCAAATTATCTTAATACGATATGATAAGCACCTACACCTACACTTATTAGTTATTATCAAGAGATTTGGGGATTTGCCGAATTCCCAAACCGATATTTCTAACCACAAAATACAACTCTTGTCATTTGTCAACTAAATTCACGTGACAGACCAAGGTTGTGTTGGTAACCACTTACATTGGTTGCATTCGCCAGCTTAGAGCAGAGACTTGTTATACTGTAGGCGCTTTCTTTCGGCTACTGCGCAATCATGATTTCGAGATCGTGATTAGTAGGATCACGTTTTACGAAAGAACGCGCGAATTTGAATCAAAGTTTGGTTAAGTTTACGTAGCGCACATTTGCATTCGAATTACGTATTTTTTGTTTGGATTATGAAAATAATTTAAATACAAGTGGAAGTACTTGCACGATTATGCTCCTCTTCAGTTACAAATATTGACTAATCTAACATTGGAGCAAAAATATCCTTGCATTTATAGGTTAGGAATTCGTGTCATAAAACTTTTATGTTCAGTTTGTTCACGATTTTAGCAATCATGATTATAAGATCACACTTCGAAAGAACGTGATTTGACAATCCAAACGCGTTTGGATCACCGAAAGAAAGCGCTTTTTGCCATTGATTATACGTTGTGTGTATAATCAATGCTACTACCAAAGAGTACCCATAATTACTCTTTGCTACTACCACAATTATTGTCTCATCTTTGACATGTAAATAAACGTATTTTGATTGATTGATTGATTGTATTTGCCTATTTGGGCATAGAGTAAATACACCTTTCACACACCTCATAAGTAGATGGTGATGTAAGCGTGGGAAAATTTTCATTCAGTGCCCCCTGTTATGTAGGACAGATCACTAAATTGGGTAGCTGAATTAGCGCGTTTATGAACCACTCAAAGCCGCGGCTTTACGAATTCATTTATAATGTCTGACCTTGAACTGATAAATTTACGCATATTCTCTTTAAATAAATCAATGAATTTTTCACTTTGTAGCGCATTTCCACAAAAAAAAAATGCGCTATTGTGGCCACTTTGTCCGTCCGCTCGTTTTGCGACGCTACTAGTTCTTCATCTTAAGAGCTATTGTTCTACTTTTTTCGCTATTTGGTTCGTTATGGTGTCGAGTCTTGTACCAAGGAAGGAATTTTTTCTGTACCGCTTACAAAAAAAGTTATTGTAAAAAAAACAAAAAACCGTTTTTTACATGTTCCATAATTTTACACTTTTGCCGTTTATTAACGATCCTAGAGATCGTTTATAATTTTGCATTGCTATCTGTCGTCTGCCTGTTGGTCTGTCCGTCTGTTCCTTTGTCTGTCTGTCCATCTATCTGTCCGTGTGAACGATAACTTTGTTTAGAAATGTTCGATCACTTTTACATCTCCGTTAGTTATGAACTGAATTGCATGAAATTAAATATGGGCATAGCTTTAGCCATATAATACGCAACGCCAAAAGTTGAATCGAATCGATTCAAAATTCACAGTGCCCTTTTCGCATCTCGACCATTTATAAACCGAATTGCAAATTTTTTTACTTATAAAAGCATTTGAATGAAATTTGATGCATAGGCACTTGGAATAAAGGAAAATCAACTGCCAATTTCAAAATTTGGTTTTGCGCATGCGCAGTGCCAACTTTTTTATTTATGGAAGAATTTAAACGAAATTTGATACATAGGCACTTGGAATAAAAGAAAATCTAGCGCCAGTTTCCAAATTTTATTTTGCGCATGCGCAGTGCCAACTTTTCTATCTATGGAAGCATTTAAGTGAAATTTGATATTTAGGCGCTTGGAACAAAGGAAAATCTAACATTAGTTTCAAAATTTAGGTTTGCGCATGCGCAGTTCCAACTTTCTTATTTAGAAAAGCATTGAAATGAAATTCTTCTCATAAACTGACATTGAAGTACAACAAAAATGGATTGCCCATGTGCAACGCTATCTTTCATATTTGTGGCCGGATTTTTACGATTTTATAGAAGTTGCATCTTACAAATGGGAAATGAATGCAAGTGGAAATGCGCTTTATGTAAATCGTTTACGATTACTTTTTAACTTGTCTTTACTACCCGACCTTTCAAGAGGATGCATTCCGTAAAAAAATACATTGATTGTAGGTACCTACTCTGTCGAATAATTTATTACCTACTTGCAATTCTATAAAATGTGCGAAACGAAATCCAATACGCACACACAGTTAATAATAAGTATCGAAGGTTCATTAAATAATAAATTTGTTGAGGGTTTTGACAAACTTATTGTCCCTATTTAAATTCGAGTGCATAAAGATTAGAAGATTACAAGATTTGTACCCCACATTATAGATATGGTTTATTAATAAATTGATCGTTTGCTCGTTGGAAATTTCAAACCAATTTTTAAACTTCTGATACAATTCCAAATAATAATCTTCATGTTCGATTATTCGCTTCGAACAAAGTCTATTTAGTTTTTTTTGTAGAAATTAATGTTACACATCCATTCGTACTATTGATATCCATTTTCCAAATTTTGAAACTACGTAAACAGAATTTAAATATGACGTTATGAGAAAAAAATCGTGTCAGATCGAATGGACTTCAGCGCATTTTTGGGTGGTAGCATTGAGGTTTTTATTCAATGGTGGTAGACCAGTTTCTATTAGCCTGTTATATTGCAATATGAAAGTCGCAAAGTAACTTTTTCAAAAGGTAAGCGCGTGGTGATTTTTTAGTCTTCTTCTGCAGTTGTAGAAAGATGAGGAGTGTACTTGTAGCTACCAGGCCGCATGATTAACAATTCTTTAGGGACGGAACTACATGATGTGAGGTCGGCGACATCCGGGCGCCATCCTCGAGCGTGGTTTACTAACGTGGTGATTTTTTATTTTTTTCATATCTTCTTTTACAGGAAAAACACATCATGTAGCCCCGCCCCTAAAGAATTGTTAATTATGCGGCTCGGTAGGTACAAGTACACTCCTCATCTTTCTACAAGTGATCTTCTACGGGGTCTCATTTGCTGCCAGCTAGCTAGTCCGCCGGCCAAAGTGAGACTAAAAGCCACCGTTTTACAAATAAATTTGCGGCGCTTCAACATTTTTTTTTCAAAAATCCGGCCCATTATTTTTCTGTTCCGTATGACTAGTATATGTTGTCTGTGGTATGTCTAATATACATATCCAAAGTTTGAACAAAATTCGTCGAGCCGTTTTCTCGGAAAATTACTAACATAAGTAGGTACGTACGTACATACAGACGGAAAAAAATTTATTCTATAAAAGTTGCTTAAAATGATAAAACGTCGACATTTGATAAAATTTTGACATGTCCAAAAAACGGCTATCGCAATAGCTACCTAGCTCGCGCAAGGAAGCTAAAAATACACAAATAAAACGGGGGATATTTGCAAAAGGTGTCCGGTATCTATAAATATGTGGACCAGTGCTCTTTGCAATGAAAGAAATATGTGAAAAATTTGTACACATTCTATAATCAGTTCGTAAATATTGCAATATTTTTAATCTTAATCATTAGAAGTAATTAGAATGAAATTAATTCGCTGTTTGATTTCAACGGTAGTGCCGTATGTTATACTATACATGCGGTGTTACATGACCGTATGTAAAAAAAAATTATCAAGGTCCTCGTGTGAGATCGAAGGGACTTCAGCGCATTTTTGTGTGGCAGATCAGTATTCTATTAGCCACTTTTGACTCAACCATCAATAAAAGATCTTGTCGAAGGCTACTACATTCACTTTATCGGTACCCGCTTCCCACTCTCCGCGTGCACCCGCAATTCGCGTTTAAAGTTTTGACTCCACCATCAGTAAAGTCTTGTCGGGGGCTACCACATTCCCTTTGACGGTACCCACTTCCGACGCCCCGTTCCCCCCAAATTCGCGTTTGAAGTTTTCACTCCACCATCAGTTAGATCTTGTCGGAGACTTAGAGGCTACCACATTTCCTTTTTCGGTGCATCCTTATATTACACCCACATTTTGGTGGATGTCGCTAAAAACGTTCCATTTTCGTTGTCCGGCCAAGAATTGTAGTGGAACTTTTTTTTCAATTTTCACAAACTAAAAACCTCAAGATACAAAATTTCGTCGAAATCAGAATTTTTTTCACATCCCCAAACTCGGATAGGACATACTCGAAAACAGGTTCGAAAACATATTCAAAGACGTGCCACCAATCTTTGTAACTCATGGTTGCTGAGAAAAAAGTTAAAGAAGAAATCCAATTTTCACTTCTTTGGGGGTGGCTTCCAAACGAAACACGTTTTGGAAAAATTGCTCGTATTGTTCCCCTCTATCACTTTTTTTACATACAGTCATATGTAACACCCTATATAGTTCATACGCGTCGCGGTTCTAGGTATGTGAAAAGCTCCGGGGTTCTAATGTGAAGCTCAATATATAGCCACAGATATACGTAAAGAACGTATGTCTGTGCTCTGTGATATCTAATTTTTTGGACAGGAAAGATCGAAAAACAACTTTATTTGGTCTCCACGCTTACCAATCAGTTATACCTAGTTGTTTTTGTTTAATAAATACCAGCTGTATTGATGAAAATCCTCCCGTGGAATAAGAAACCACAACAAATACATTTAATATTATATATCTATATTTCACAATTTTAAATATATCTATAATCACATATACATACATTTTATATCTTAATATGTAACAGGAAAACTTTATTGTAAAAACATCATAGAAAATATCCCACAGAATAACCTATATGGCGTCCGTTACAAATGTGGCGATACATCAACTGAAATTTTTTTTTACAATAAGGTTTATTGACCTTACAAAGCGGATAGACGAAAAACCTAAACGTCGATTCGCCTTGTTCAGTTACATTTTTATGGAAAATATAATTACAAACATAGCACATTAAGTAAGATAATAGCTAAATTAAGGTTGTCATTCCTCCAGTTCGCAATCTGTCGAAGATACTGATTCATTATGTGTTAAGTCCCAGAAAACTACACGCAATGAACTGAGCCCCGTGCACCAACGGCAGATTAACGATAGTGTTATGAGAGTCCTCTTTCTGGTTAGGGAAACCAAACACTAACTGCTATTGGTATCCACCTTCTATAAATTGCTTCCACTACAGGGAGGGGTGACTAGATTTTGCGTTATCTAAATTCCACTCTGTGGTTATCGTATCGACCATTCCTGGAATGTTGTCCTGGAATAACTAGCTTCTTGTGCATTCTAGCTGGCATAATCGTTGCATTTGGCGCTTCCACAAATTCAATCTCGTTTAGGTATAACATCATTCATGTACGTCTCATAAAGACCTCAAACCGTAACATCTAGGTACATCTATCCAGAGTGATGGTCGATCTTGTCAAATTTGAGTGTGTGTAATACATAGTGATACACTTTCCCATTTGATGTCTTTCGATTGAAATTAATTAATGTCATTTGCAGTAAAAAGTAATTCAATTCATATTCAGAACAATCTATATTAGTATTTCCACTCTAATTACTTGGTATTGGTCGAATTGTGTGCGAATCGTGTGCGTTAAAAATTGCACTTCAATAACAAAACATTCTGCATTAACGCACAAAGTGAATCATAACAATAAAATGTTTTTGAAGGTAAACTAAACACACATTTAAAACGTCTGTGTTCGTACCTATTTGAACAAATATTTTAAACAAATAAATTATATTCCTAAACTCTGGCAATAACAACCTGTCATAATGTGGTTCCAGCATTGTTTTGGTAAAATACCATACTATAACAGTTTAACATTGGCTTAGACTATTCGTTCGTCACTATACTTAATGAAGATATAGTAAATTATCGTGTTAAAACATCACTAACAAGTTCGTCCTATTCACGAAAAAAATAATTAACAATATATATGCAGTAAGGTAGAGTCCATAACCTTCAGAAAGTGACGTTGTTAGGATCTGTTGGCGAATCTCCTTCATTGGTGGGCAGTGGCGCTAGTTGTGTCCCAGGTGAAACAAGCATAGTGGGTTCAGTGTTGCGTCTTTTCATCTTTCCTTTCATCTTTTTCAGCATGGTAGCCTGGGGAGGGTTGCGCACATACACTCTCATTAGGTAAAAGAAATTGAGACACAAACTTAACTTATTTCTTAAGAAATGCAATTTATATCACTGTTCTATTATAAAAATAAAAAAAAAGAATTACAAAAAGCTAATAGTTTCCTTATGAAAATAAGCTAGCAAAATGCATGCCACAGTTTTCATGTAAGTATATATAAATATATGTTATAAAAAATGTATACTAAATATGCAAATAATGGAACAAGGACTGAATGGTTACAAGGGGTTCGTTTTAATCATCGCTGCTCTTGCCCCCCTCCCCATTGGCAGGTAGTATGCTCGGTTCAGTAGGCCGACGCTTGAATTTATTTTTCTTCAGCATAGTTGCCTGTACCAAGTAATGTATGTAATCGTTATTTCATGTAGCATGTTATAGTGGATATATATAAAAAGTATATATGCACTAAACAGAATTGTTGCTTACCACAAATTATTGACAGTGTATATGCAGGTTGATATCTATGTACAGAGTGTGAAAAAGCGATGTGAAAAATAAAATTAATAGGGTACAACTATATAGAAATAATTAAAAAGAATTGGTTGGTAGTACTGCAAATGCTCATAATGTGTAAGACAACAAAACATAAATTAAAACATTGACCAAACAACAACGATATGCACACTGAACAGTGTGTCCTAATATATATCCTACCCATTATTCTCGTTTCAAAATTAGCGGAAGAAATACTCAAAACCTTTCTGGTTTCTGGTTTAATAATTCAACGCTCAAGATAAAATAATAACAAAAAATCTACCTACACCTAGTATCCAAAAGATACCTAATCTTATCTTTCTCTACATGTGAAATGTCTCTGCAGTCGAGAATTAGGTAGGTACTGAACTACGTACAAGTTTATAATGAGACATACTTGAACACGGTAGTAGGTATTTTAACAGTACGAATAGAGACTATCCTGTTTACTAAATCCTACGAATTTTGCGAAAAAGTAAAATTGGTGGCGCATCACCGTATTATCGATAGAACAAAAAATAAATATGGAAAACATATGATGAAAAATTAAATTAAATTATAGCCTAACAGCATACAAAAATATACCTGGCGCTATGTCAATAAAAGACCCTTTTTAATGTACTTTGACAAAAGTGAAATCAATAAAATGGTTTATCGTCAATTTCTTGAAGTGTTACCCATCTCTGGATTTTGAAGGGTATTTTTAGTGATTTTTGCACGAAAATCTAGGCAAACTAAACCTAGTGCGCTTAAAAAATTTCCAGAACTATAAACAATACATGGTTTGGGCAGCACAACGACAACGCTTTATTTTTAGAATTTAGATGCTGCCCATATAAGCTTTTGTGGATTCGAGCTTATTTGAATTTCACTACCGACTAGTTTTACAAAATAATACAAATTATTATTATGGAATTTGCTAACAGTAAAGTATAAAAATAGTTCTGGATACTTTCTTAGCGTACTGTATTTAGGTAGTTATTGTGGAGTATATTTCTTCCTCATATGTTATCTTATAATGAATGAATAATTAATTTCCATTGTTGATCAAATACACATTATCACTATGGGGAGGACATTTAAAACGGTCATAGGGCGATAGGGTTAACAGACGGCATAGCAGGGGATTGTGGACATAGTTGCGACTATTAGTAATAACATGCAGGTTTGAATTATAGTGGTCATATGAGCGGTTAAATCATCTATTCTAGTGTAACAAGCATAGAAATACATAAATGGCTACTATGACATGCACATTTCAAGCAAAAATCAACCTACCTTCAGTGCGGATTTTAGCACCACTACATCACAAGGACTCTGGACCCACGGTTCTCCATCTACCTGCACGGGAATGTCTGAGTGAAGATGTATTTTAATATGACCACCCTGAAAAAAACACTTACTCTCAGTTTTCAGCTTAACTAAACGATTATATCCTTAATTAAATATTGTCGAAGTATGAAGGTTCAAACTATTCAGATTCGCGCATAAATAGAAAAACAAGTTTAAGCATACGTGCACGAACTGGTAAGAGCGGTTGAATGAAAGGTTGTCAACCAGTACCTAACAAAGCTAATACACCGGTTGGTTGATCTAGCTGTTGAGACTTTCCTCCCCGAAATATGTTTAAATAGGCGAAATTGAATCAGAGAACTACTAGATATTAATAAATATAAGAACCTGAGCTATCCTCATTGCCGATCTTAAACCCGATTGAATTTGTCCCAGATGCACAACACCTGTCACACCAACAACTTCCAGCATACCATCCCAATGGTTAGGCTTCGAAAACTGATCTTCTTTTTCTGGACCCCAAGGGTTAGCACCAGAACCCCAACTAGAAAGTAATACACAGTTAATCAAAATAAATAACCAAATTAACGTAAATACCTTAAAATATTTAAAATGATAATGCCTTCAACTTGTGGTAACTCTACCAACTTCCCGTCCACTTCCAAACGCACCTCCTTATGCAGATCCTTGCACATTTTTGGACCGACCATTTTACGCAAACCCATTTTTACGTACACACTTTTATTATGCAATCGACTGTTGAATTTGTTAGGGTTTTCTTCGCGAGCGTTGTGAAAGTCTAGACATAGGTCCGCATCGATTCCAATCCCAAAGTAGTTGTTCATAACGAATATTTGCGAATTATCTTCACTTGTTGATGCTCCTACAACTGTTAGCATGGAAAGTAACTTTTATTTATTTTTTTGGATCTCTTTACTGCATACTACAAAACTAAATTTTCTATTTATACAAAGTTATTTATAATTGAAGGGTCTAGAATGCAGCACTAAAGAGTAGGTGGGCGTTCCAGAAACTCGGCTACTGCAAGGATCACAATTGGGGATTGTGTTTTAATATATTGTGTTTTAATATATACTTAACTGCATAAGTACTATCTTTTTCAACATTGACAGTTCTTTTGTATATTTTGCTTTGCTGAAACTACTACTAGCTATCATTTGTTGTTTGTGAAAAACGCCAAGTTAAACTTTGAAATCTGAATTTTTTGAAATTCTAAGTCTAAGTACAATTTTCATTGTTTTGCTTTTTGTCCCCCGGTACGCATTTATGTTTTCTTCATGTTCGTAACAACTAGTTAATCCAACGCAGCAGAATTTCAAGTGCGCTCTTTTGTTTGAATACCTACTGTACATAAAAATTTTGCAATCTTTTTCTAAGAATAAGAGAGCTGATAATTCACGATAGAAAAATAATTTAGTTGACGCCTTCAGTTATAAATCCACCTGTCTAAATTTTATTTAGATAAAATGTTATTAAATAATGACAACATTATATATGTTATAGTATTGTGTTATAATAGATTTATATTCTAAAATTGATACTGTTTATTCGGTAAATACCAAAAACGTTAATATCAAAGGTTTTAGACCTTTGGTGGTAACATCGTGACAATTTAATAGTCACTTAATGTACATAACAAATGGTACGTATCTTGTCCAATACAAGGTGGATAATAATATTTATTTGCCACGTCGTTTTTTCGGCTTTCGTTACATACAGTTAAGCTACATATTGGTAGGGTATATAGGCCCACAGCAAAGAGATCTCTCTTTTTTTATTAGCAATCAAGTTGGGTGCGCTATTGCAGCCACTTTTTCTGTCCGTCCGCCCGTCCGTCTCTTCGTTCGTCCGTTTGTCTGTCCGCCCGATGCATTAACTACTCCTACAGTTTTCAATAAATTTAGTTCGTTCTTTTTGAGTTCGGTATAGTTTATCGCTCTGGCAACCGAGCCAAGAAAAATCTTGACGATTAATGTGCGCATGCGCAGGATGCGCAATATCAACTTTCTTATTTATCAAGATATCTTTTTGGAATTTTAATCTCCCGGCTACTTCTGTTAAAGGCAGACATATCCCATAATGTAGACTTAGATATGCGCAAGCACAGTCTATGCGCGCTATGCGCAGTGCTAACTTCCTTATTTATGAAGATATTTCTTTAAAATTCTAACCATAGATGCCGCTAGTAAGGCAAAACATAGCGCAAATAGCTATGGCCTTTTGAGACGTACTGATCAATGCAATGGAAAATGCGCTGAAGTTACTCGCCTTAGGGGGAAAATTTTTTTACTTATTTTGTGGGCTTATACACCGTACCGACATTTAGCTTAATAATATTTATTATTTCAATATAGTAATTATATTGCAATAGGTACGTAATCGTAATCCATACAATAATTTATGTTGTAGATATAGGTACAAAAATTTCGCTCCACAGTTGTATAATGTGTCGGGTTTTTGTTCGGTAAGATAGACACGAATTTGGTCAGTTCCGATAAAACAATACCATGAAATTGAGCACTAAACAACTGAAATCATTGCTACCTACTTTTTAAGAAAGCTGTGTTAATATGTGTAAAATGTTAGACTCTTTCGTTTAGAATTAATTTTATCTTCCTTTTTTTTTCTTATGATAATGTTGTTTTGCCGTAAACTATCAAACATTTGCAAAAAAATATACAACATGCACATGCGGGTTAATACACTCTACAAACACAACACGTTTACGAACTAATAATATATTCATATTTCATTGGTGGTCTATAATAGCTGACTCGAACAGCAATTTTTAATCAAGCAGCAGCCATTCTGTCTAGGAAAGTAAGTACAAATATTACGGATGATAGAGTGTATGTGTATCGTGTGTGTTATAAAAAGGTCGAAACTCAGTGTCTGTTTTCACGGGACATTGTCAGGGTAAACTTATTTTAGCGAATTTTCTGTAATAAGTTTCTCTGCGTCTTTTTTGGACGACTATTGAATATTCTAATTAGTAAAGGAATGTAGATATTTTTGTTTTGGGGGGAGTACATACTGAGGGAAACTTTTTAGCGCATTTTTTTCAAAGTGAAAAATCGATATTTGCTGCACTTTATCGTCGGTCCGTCCGTCACGCGTACTCCTTCTAGACCATTGCATCGATTTGGGCTCATTTGAAAAGGCTTGGTCCAAGGATTCCGTGCATACCGATATTTTTTAATTTTGCGCGCGCGCAGTGTTAAAAATTTGGTGTAACACATCTGTGATGCTAACTTTTTTATTTATGAAGATATTTAAATGATATTTATATGTAAAGACGACCAATATAAGTAAAATTAACAACGTTTTCAAAATGTTGTTTTGCGCATGCGCAATGGATTCATCCCGCCTTCATTTTTTATTTCTGATCCACAAAGTACATTAAAAATAAAAAGACCCGTGTGTCCTCAATTTTTATTTGCGAGTAAAATAAACCCAAAATAAATTATTGAAAAGCTGTGTTTTTAGTCCGAATTTGAAACGCTTCAGACTAAATACGTCACAAACCTACAACCAATCACGTAGAAGTGAGCTGGCAACCTTACGCGAGGGTCTGACGTTTGTCACATTTGATGTTTTGAGAGGGATGTTTAACTGCATCTAGCACGAAAGTGACAAGTGCCTGTGACAGATGACGCAAGTTATAAATGCCATTCTCCTGCAATATTGCCAAGTCGTTATGTCATCTGAATGGTTCTAGGAGCTGATTGGTCGGGCTTATTACGTCACAGAGCCCGCCACAATCATGTCGTTTTGAATAAACCTTTAAAACCGCACATGTTCATTATTTTTTTGCTAATCAGCCTCTATTTTTAAATAAACTTTTACTGTCCAAAAAAATGTTTTATGGTTTCAGGTACACGCTTATTAAATTAGAACTGCGGAATTCAACTATACTGTAAACCCCCATTCCAACTTTCTTATTTATGAAAGGATTTCAATGAAATTTTGTATATAGGCATTTGGAATAAAGACAAATCTAACGTCAGATGCAAAATTTGGTTTTACGCATGCGCAATGCCAACTTTCTTATTTATGAAAGCAGTTACATGAAATATCATATGTAGGCACATTGAAAGAAAGTAAAACTAATGCATTCGACGATATGCGATTGAAAGAGAATGGGGTAAGGACTAGGGTAAGGATCTCGTGCCTACCGGTATTTTTTCCCGGTTATTAGGAGCAAAATACGGCTCTCGTCATTTATGTTTGCATAATGACTTTCTAACTTTCTAACGTTATAATTTTATTGCGTGATTTAGTCGCCGTATTTTGCATGAGAACCGCCATTGCAGCATTAGGTAGAACAACGCGATTGAAGTAATTCTGAATCAACGAAAAATGATCGGGAAATAGAGCGATTTCGTGTGCATTGTGGGTGTAGTTAAAGAACACGATCAGCACTCTGGCACATCTTTAAATATAGACGGCGACTAAAAATTTCCCATTGAAAGATCCGTAAAATATTGTAATTAGTGAAAATAGTGAATTCGGGTGGACTTTGGAGGTAATTAAAGAAAATATGGGAGATTCGCGTTTGATCCACAGTTAGCAAAGCACACTTAACGCCTTAACGGGGGGGTAATTTGGAATAAAACTTGACGTGTTGGATGCGCGTATAACGGAAAAATATCCGGAAGTTCAGAATATTACGGGGCGAAACTTTTGGGAGCGAATATATTCCGAGGGTTACAATTACAAAAAGAATTTTAGGTGAGATGAACCATTTTCCAAAAAAAAGTTCATCTGTGAACGAATATTCGGAAGCGAATTTTCCCAGTAGGCATCTTTAAACTTTAAGCACATGTTTGTAACACATTTTGGCGCACGCTAAATATTCATGACATCCATTTGAAGTCCAAACAGTACTTTTTAAATAGCACAGGCAATTTAGGTTAACAAATAGACAAAATTGGTAACTATAGCTGATTTTTGGTGAGATGTTAGGTATGATAAGATAAGTATTTTCTGAAAGTTCCCCTTACTTTCTCCTGTTTGCTTCACCGCGATATAAAGGGCCTAAAGTGTAATTTACACGGGATAGTAAAACTCTCACAAGTTTGTGTCAGAGAGCACTTCCCAATAACTCTCATAGTGTAAACCTTAGACAAGGAAAGAATCCTAATCTAAGGTGTAAACAGTGATAGAGAGCTCTCTCCCAGCAAGTCGAAAACTTGCCGGCAAGTAATTGCTGCAATAAAATGTTGCACGTCTAAACAAGTTTTGACAGGACGTTGACATTTATTTCAATCTTGTTGAAAGTGCTGTGTTACATGGAGGGAAAACGGGTGTGGTCAGAAGAATACCTACACGTCTTCTTTAATTAACACTTTTGAAGAAGTTGTGGCAAATCAAATCAAAAATCTACTGTGTATACGCACATTCACATTCAAACACTTGCTGAAAACAAGTGTCTGAGCTGAGAGTACTTATGCTGAGAGAAATTGCTTTTTACAACTTGCTTATATGGAAACGCTAGCGCAAGTGACTCTCAGAAGTACTATCGCAATTAACTATCCCGTATAAACTACCCTTAAGACGCGAAAACAATAAAATCGCTATTGTGCTCCTTGTGTTGCATCGATTTTGGTAGTTGTGGTCTTAAATTATTCAGAATTCCAGAATAATTATGTTAAACAATAACCATTGCAATAATTCATAGCATTTTAAGACTAGAGGATTACAAGGAAGCCATACCAAAATCGGTACCATAGATAAAATGGAATAGCGATTTCATAGTTTTCGCGTCACTTAAGCACTTTCAGAAAATGCTTATTTTATCATACAGTCATCACTTTCTCTTAATTTAAATACATGATAAACAATTTTATGATTAACTATGTTATAAACAAGTATAAATATAATATAGGTCAAAGGCAAATAATTAAACGTGATCGCTATTTTTGGGTAATTCCAAGGCATATCTGATTTATTAAAATGAACCTTTTTATTTTGCCGATTTGTACGGTTTTGAAAAACGGAAAATTATAAGTAATAGTAGCTGCAGTATTTTTTTCTGTAAAAAAAACGTATTCTGCTCTAAAATAATTAGGGGAGCTAGTAATTGACTATAAAGAAATTACCATTGAAATCCCTATGCTGCGTTGCGCTAGGCATCACCCTGTATACCTACTAGGTACTATGCGACCAAAAAAGAGTTGCTGTCGAGTCACCTTTGGCATTTTTGTTTACATGGGAAATTTAGCTTGAACTTCCAAAGGCGACTCGATGTCAATCCTTTTTTTATCGCCCGCTATTATACACCTCACCTCAACAAAAACCAGTTAATTTTGTCAGTGGACATTATAGTGAATTTAGGGCATTTTTTTTGTCTAAAGTGCCTGGTTTAAAAATGATGGAAGGTTTTAAGGGAGTAAAGCTAACGGTTTTCGAGATATTTGTTGTTTGCTCCCGACGAGGACGAACATTTCGACGGCGGCGATTTTTATTTGAGTCATGAAACAGAGTATTCGAAGATGACATGACACTATGAGTGCCGAAAAAGATTACTATTGCTTTTTTACTTGCATTGTCCCTTTCTGTATTTAAATGTGCGTGCCATTGTTGGTTTTTCATTGGCTGCTTTATTTTTTCTTCGTTTTGTTGACCTTTATTCGTGGTAGTATTCTTTGGTGGTATGGTATATGTATATATCCGGGCGGCAAATTTACACAATATACCATGTAGAGATGCTTGGGGTGTGTAAGTCCCGCCCAAATTTCTGATGATAAACCCGCTTGTTATTAACGCAGTATAAAATGCATTTCGAACAGGCACCAAATGCGGTATAGTATGTAGTCGGGTTCTTATAGAAGTGAACCCCGGCGGACGTTAAGTATTAATCTCGATAATCTCGTTCATTTACTTCGCGATCAAAGTACGTTAAGATCTGCAACCACAGAAACACAAAAAAACAAGTTTATGAAAGTACAACCAACAGCCTTGTCCAGAGGGGCTCATGGTGCGTGCTCCCAAAAAGGAAGGCAATCAGGAATAAATGTTAATTTTTTTATTATTTTTAATGTTTTTAACTTCATAATTAAACATAAATAATCATTATTTATACATATACTTATGTAGATATATAAATGTTTGTTATTGATCGATACAATATCGTTATTAAATTATCCGACATGCTGGTCTACAACGCATACAGTGTGTTTCAAAATTCGCGCACACGGACTGTGGGATCGTGTTATACAACGAAAACTGAATAAACAGTTCCTCTGCCAGTTTTCAGACCGGCACTTTTTTTTTCAACATGCTGAAGCTTGTTTAGTAGCAGACGGCAGACATTTTGAACAACTGTTGTAATTTGTACTCGTCATAATTATAGTTTATTTTGAACCTTCTTTTGTTTTTAAAAATGTATTATTATTAAGTTTAACCAGTGGCGCAGCGTAGGGGGGGCGGAGATTTTTAAAACCGCGGTAGCTCGAAAAATAGCGGTCTGATGGAAAACTGGTAGAGGAACTTTTTGTTCCTTTGTTTGTTTTGGTCGTATAACACCATCCCATAGTCCGTGTGCGCGAATTTCGAAACACCCTGTATATGTACTACTATATCAAATTATACCCCTTTTGACGCATTGTCTGAGTACATTCTGTACCGCATTACAGAGATTTTCACTGCTGAGTTAGATTTGAGGGTGGCGCTTACCTATAGACCCAAATCTCCTCTACATGGTGTAGGTACTATTTCCTCTATGGTACTATGTAAATTCGCATCCAGGATACCTTCGCCAATGACGTTCATCTGTTGCTAATACTTTAGCCGTTATCGTTTTCTAGTGGGATACTTTTCCCAACTTTTTCTAAAGGTCTCAGGTATATCATTCTGTTAGCACCTACCCAATATCAATTTCTGAACGCTACATCAGGCAGGAGAGATATTAGACTGATGAATCCTGACAATCTATTAAATTATTATAAATGAGTCTTCATTAATGCCAAACCTGGTAGGTACGTACCTCTATTAGGTACTCATTTGTAAATTATAATAGAAAATTTTAAAATACCTTGGGGATTTACAACCAATACATTCAATAAAAATGAACACAAAATGCTAGTAGATAAATAAGATTTGGTTATCTACATAGGTTAAGGTACCTATGTAGAAAAATGAAACTTCATTCATAAATCCTTTCATATAGCTACTTGTGTATTAAAAGGTTTTTTGAGCGATTAAAACTATATCAATCATTTAATATGCTATACCTATTTGGACTTTTAAGTTCATATTGAGTTTATTGAGGGGTTACCTATGAGAATTGGAAACTTCACTCTCTGTTTAATTATGATATAGTCGATTGATGGATACTGTAATTAACAAGACTACCCATATACGTACATAGGTTGTTACACTGTGGAGACTCGTGTCTCCATTAAAAGTTGTTTCCCTTCTGATATTTCCGTTTGCGCGTTACATTTGCAAATATCATCATCATCAGTTCCACGTTTGAATATTTTATATTCAAATGTAGGTAACACTCTCAATGCTACTAATACTCAATACCCCATTTTTCGAGTGGTCGTATGGCTAGCCGTTTTTGGAATACAATAATATCAGTTTGGATGGAGCACCCTGCTTGTGTAACTGTATAAATAGAAAGATGGTTGAATGTTAAACAAAAACATTTATAACATACAAATGAAACCTCAGATCAGATAGGTTATTAATAAGCATGAAGAGTGATTATGAGTTATTATACGGGTAGGTAAATATAAAAAGACTGCTTTCAAAAAAAGTAGGTTAGAATGGCAGTCACAGTTTGGCAAAAAAAATAACTTAGCATACGAATCTCAAACAAGCAATATGTCATTTTTATAGATCTAGATTACAGCAAAACAACATCAAAACACACACTGGATTGACCTTGTTTTTTAATTTGCTCATTGGTCAGTTTCAGTTTGGACAGTTTTTGCCTCTTCTTACCGGAGGAATTGACCTGCTTGTTGCCATCATCGGGCTTATCCTCAGGATGAAATACTACCGTCCATCTATCTAACCGTATCTCTTCTGCGTCAATGACGTCCCTCAGTAGATTTAATGGATCTTCACCGCCCGTATAGCCAGGTCCCCATCGCAGTACCCTAGCCAGATCGTTGCCTATAACAGAGAGGCATTAGTTCAGGATTGAGTTGTTAAAAGATAACAAACCTGTGCCCAGCGGTACTATAGCGCAAGCGGGCGAAGAGCATTGTGAATCTTGCCCTACGTTGTCCAGACATTGCAGTACCCACCCAATAGTACCATCTCCTCCACAAACTAAGATTCTATAATTTTGAATATTTCTAAATACATATAAACCCGGCAGTGGTCCTCCGTTATCCAAATCAAAAACCTGGTAGGGATTGAGTAACTTTCGAAAACTTGAAATTAATTCAAGACCTTGGCAACCACCAGACTTAACGTTAACAAAAATTAATAGCGGTTGAACACCATGAGGGATCATTGAAGGTTCTAAATTGGGTAAAAGCATAACTGAAATGAGAGTAAGTAGCGTCGGTTTATTCCTTCATTTAACTTGTTACCTAGTAAGTGTTTATCTTCATATCGTGATTCCCTGAGAATGTAGAATGCTCTCACTGCCTTTTCAGAATCTTCATAGGTAATTACCATTGATCCGTATTCATAGTATATCGGGCCAATATTTGAAAATTTGTTTTCTAAAGATTACATTCATTACGTTACAGTTTGAGTATATCTACAGCCATAGGTATGTACAGCTTACCTTTCCCGAGTAACTCCGTTAATATATTTTCATAATTCCTTTCGGAAAGGTTGGGTGGTAAATTTCCAACAAAAAGTGCTACGTTAGGCCCGTGAGGGTCTTGTTTTAACTGAAGATAAAAACGCATAAGTTCCATTTGACGTATACTGTCCCTTCCCAACTGCTTCATTATTTCCCAAGGTCTTTCGTTCCAAGATAGAACCCTTTCGGTGACTGTAAGAACAATCGCTGAGTTATTGAAGCACAGACAGCTACAAACCTCCTCTATCCAGTAGAATTTCGCTACATCGAAAATCTTCACATCCATACTCATGAAAGCCAAAAAATTTTAATGATTCTCGAATTAGATCGGCAACGGTTGTGCTGGAATCCACGGGCACGGTGCAGAATGCCTGAGATACCTGCAGCTTACCAGGAAACACACGTACTTCGCCCTTGTCATTATCACGATCTCTGAGATTGTGCAAAAAGTAAATTACCTAATCTATAAAGTTTCAAATGGGGGTATACCTAAACCGAAGAAATACGGCCGGCCTTTTGCCTTCTTTGTGGTGCAAATTAGGCACAGGCGTTGGATCCTGCAACTGCGTTTCATCTGGAGAGTAAAGGTCGGTGAGATAAAAATTATTTGGATCTTTCGTAATATGGTGCGCCCTTAACGCTAATATAAGAACGTGTCTTAGTTGACTTTGCCTTTGCACCACGATTGTTCGAAAAATTCTTCTTCTCAATGAGTTATTTCCATCGTACACTTTTATCACCTCTAAAAGTCTAAATTAAAACGCGCTGGTAAATGGTTCAAGTACCTTCGTCACGATCGTCTCTTTCCTTATTTTGTTTATCTCGATCTCGACCTCCGGCATGCGCTTGAGCGAATTCTTCGTCTTTATAACGGCCTGTATCTCCACTGCTAAATTCCTCCGAAATACTTCTCGCTGCAAAACAATTACCAACGTTACCTTTAATCATAAATAATGCGCACTAACAAAATTTGGAGCCAACCAAATCTCGATAAGCGAAACTGTGTAGGTAATCAGTGAACGGTGTAATGCATAAAAAATTATAAAAATGCGAACACTTACGGCATGAATACTCACGAGACAATGTTTCTTTGCGTCGCACCTGAACCCCAATAATTGCTTCCATTGGCACTTCAGTACGCGGTATACTTATAGCATGTGGTGGTAAGTATATGGGTTCCAAAATCCCAAACGTGCACTCCGGTGGTATGTTCATATGGCAAGATGCATGGCACTAAAGGAAATTTGTCAGTATCTATTCATAGGTTTCCAATGGTATGAATTACCGTCATCCCACACCACTCGCATCGATAACCTGACAAGCATTCAGATGTCCAGCAAGTCTTTTTACAAAGCGCACACTTTGAATTGCTGGGTAGGTTACCCTCTCGCCAATGGTGTTCATGTCGTACGCATGCAAGGTTCTTTCCTGGCAGATACGTTGCGTTCTCTCGGCAGTCTGCCACTGCAAAGTCCTGACATTCTGTGTGCACGAAGTAGTCGCATACTGGAACATACAAAATTTATTGTAACTACACTGCAAGATACTACTACGGACTACTTAATTATCCTCTCAAAGAATTTAATAATCAATATTTTCTAAACGTAATCAAGAACGGTTTTCAAAATTTTTATTTTATTTGCACTATCCAATCAACCTTTATAATCCACTAAGAATTTTCGTGTGTCTGTCTGTCTCTGCCAAATAAAGTTTTGCCCCTGACTTTGACTTCGGATTCGTAGGTTTTGCGTTCTAGTAATGCAGCGCAACCCATCTTCCCAAAGGCAAGTGGTGAAAAATGCGGTCCGAATGCATGAGCAAAGAAATTTTCTAGAAGTATACTAAGCAGAAAACGTTAAATTAATAGTCATATTATGTTTACCATTAATAGTAGGTATGAATACAATGTTAAAAACCCAAGTGAGTTACCAGGACTGTTAAAGTTTTGCCGCCCATCGAATATTGTTTATTGGGGTCCTCTAATCAAATTTCGCATTTTCGCTAATTCGGAAAAACGCTTTTATCTCAGTAACCACTTGTCTGATTTTCATGATCTCGGGCTCATTGGAAAGATATTAAAATAAGACAGAACTTTTATGAGAAGTGCAAATCGCGTTCCGCGAACGGTTTTCGAAAAATTTGCTAAAATTTGAAAAATTCACGAATTATTTTTTTTCTTTGTGACACAGATAAAACGTTATTAAAACTTGTAACTTACGAATAAACATTTATTTCTATTTCCGTGTCACAATGATGATTTTGTACAACTGTTTTCGACCGAAAACAGTTGTACAAAGACAGTGATTATAGTCGTTTTTTTTTGGTAACTCATCTGCATCTCTTAAGTTGGCAGTTACTAGTTAGTACAAGTAGGTACAATACTTCCAATGAATAAAGAATACCTGAATACTTCCATGTTTGACTGATTGAAAACTGATTAAAATACAAATGTCCATCAAAGTTGCGCGGGTACACTTCTTGAGCATTGATATAAAGCGTCTGGACGTTCTTCCAGAGAAATGGATAAATAAAAAGCTAGCAGCAATGTGCTAATGTGCAGATTGCCAACTGCCATTTAAAACAAGAAAGCTGCTATAGTCCATCCGGTATTACTATTCCGATATGTAATTAAACCCCACTAAATACAGCGTTAACTTTTTTTCTATTTCGGTGTCACAATGATGATTTTGTACAACTGTTTTCGGCCGAAAACAGTTGTACAAAGACAGTGATTATAGTCGTTTTTTTGATAACTCATCTTTTAAGTTGGCAGTTACTAGTTAGTACAAGTAGGTACTTCGTTGGGTACTTCCATGTTTGAACTTCAAAATGCAAGTCTTACTACGCTGCCAACCTAAAACTTAACGGCATAAAAAGTGTTCCCAACATAAAACATGTTAGTTCTAATGTTCCCTATAGTTTCTGATAATGATTTTTTTAATTAAATTAAAGCACCGAAATAGAAAAAATAGTATGAAAAACGCGTGTTACAATGCTTGATTGTAATACTCCTATCTTGTGGCACGAGTGGCGACGCGAAGCGACAATAGGTCGCATTGTAACACTTGTCTTTCAATATACTATTACTTCACTTAATATAAATAATTCTCTCAAACAAACTGCACCGCGTAAGGTACCGTAACGATTAAGCGATTCTAGCTCGTATCGCTTACGTTAAAGAATGTTTATTGAAGTGAATTTCGCTTGCATGGCATGGCATCAAGTAGGCGTAAACAACATTGCTGTAAACAAAAACTGGATGCAAGCGAAATTCAGTTCAATTAATATATTATTTGACGTAAGCAATACGACCTAGAATCGATTAACCGTTTCGGAACCGTACTTTGTTCATTCTTATTCTGCACGTCAACAATAGCGCGTTGCAGTTTATTTGAGGGAATTATTTATATTAAGTGAAGTAAAAAAAAGTTAACGCTGCATTTAGTGTGGTTAATTACATATCGGAACAGTAATAACAAATGGACTATAGTTACTTCCGGTATTCCCAAGTGTCATCGTTTAAAAACAATTACATCGACTCAACTTTCAATATAACACCGAAGTTCAAATTTTCATAATGGAATGTATAAAACTTTCGCAAAAATGACTAATTAAATTTTGCCAAAAAAACCGTTATGTAGGTATAGCTATAGGTTACCAGACGGCTTTGAAATAAAGTTAAAATTTCGAAAGCATATGCGCTAATTTAAATCTGGTTACAGTTTCTATCAAGTAGGGAAAAATTTAGCCTCCAGGATTTAAAGTAAGTCTAGAAGCTATTAAAGGATAATTTATCAAGGCGACGCAAAAGTTTTTACTCAATAAGAACAAATTTCCACGTAACTCGAAACAGTTTTTTATTTCTTTTCATTTCAAAATATTTTAAAAAATACATCCACAATATTGCAAAAACTGTAGGGATTTTGACGATATTGGGTGTGTCTATTCCCGTGACTTGTAAACTAGAGGGAGGTGCACCTAAGTGAGTTCGGCCAATAGAAAACGAAAACTGAGGACAGAAAGATAGGTATTTATTTGTTTATTAACGAGCTCCTAGCGAGTTTATAATTTTGCGGTGTCTGTCCGTCTGTCCGTCCGTTAGCACGATATCTCGATAACGAATGGACCGATTACGATAAAATTTAGTAGATGGATTCTTTATCAAATTTGTAAATCTGAGTTCGTGAATTGGCAATGTAGCCCAAAAACTAAGGAAGGCCCTTTTGACAGCTCTGTGAGTTACGAACCGAATTGCATGAAATTCAATATGCGTATAGCTTTAGCTATATAAAACGAAATTCCAAAAATTGAGCCTAATCGATCAACATTCACAGTGCCCTTTTCGCATCTCGACCATTTATAAACCGAACTGCAAACTTTTTTATTTATGAAGGTATTTAAATGAAATTTGATACATAACCACTTGGAATAAAAGCAAATTTAAGGCCAGTTTCAAAATTTGGTTTTGCGCATGCGCAGTGCCAACTTTCTTATTTATGGAAGCAATTAAATGAAATTTCATACATATACACTTTAAATAAAAGCAAAACTAACATCAGGTTTAAAATTTGGTTTTGCCCATGCTATAGCTATACCCAGGAGCTCGTTTTCTATATTTGTTTAGTTTATTTATTTATTTAATATTACGGAAGAGACCCCAAAAAATCACATAATACAATACTGTCGGCTTTTGTGTTAGATTGTGACTTGTATGCAAATAGGGCGCACTTCTAGAAAAGATGGAAGTTCATATCGGAAAAAAAGCTATAAAGCTCATTGTAAGAGGTAAGTGCAGACAACTTTATCGAATGGATATGAACTACTATAACCTAAAAGTTAGCCACTAAAGATTGACTTCGCCCTTTTACAACACAGCACTGTCAGACTGTCACTAAATTATTAAGAATCAATCATCAGATTCTTATACTCGTACTTGTCCGTCCGCCCGTCTGCGTGCGCTATAACTCTTTTGAAAGTGGCCGATCGTATTTGAAATTGGCGTACAGGTACTTTGGACATTAAAGAAGGACGCTACTGATTTTCAGAAAGCAGGCTCAACCATGGGCGCCGCTACTAAAGGGCAAGGAGGGGCCCGGGCCCCTCCCTGGGATTTGAGAAATCACTTAATCCATTTTAGAAAATGTTGAAAGCTCACAATAAAACCAGAACACAGCCACCTTTTTCTGTCCCATCGCTGTTCGGTGACAAAGCAAAAGTAGGTAAACCTTTTGTAACCCTATTGACTATTGAGTTACCTCAATGTCCATAAAGTTGCCATATTGTATAAACTAGAGAGATTAAATTAACCGAAGACCGCAGGGTGGCTGTTTGTTTTGGAAAAACATCAATGACAATACTGTCATGTCACATACATATTTCGGTTCGGCACTTTTTAGCGCATTTTCCAAAAGGAAAATGAACGCTATTGTCCGCACTTGGCCGTCTTTACCATTACTAGTCCTCCACTTTAGGCTTTTTCGTTGTGGTTTCTTTCTTATACGGTGTAGCACAGCCTCGAGACCAGAACGACAAAAGACTTTTTGGAGTAGTCACTTCCTTCCAGAGCTATTACTGATTCTGTGTGGGGAAAATGCGGTTTCGTCGGTCGCGAGTGACCACGTTTTTAACTTGTTATGGAATAGATGCACATAAAGTGATGAATATACGAAGAATCGCATACGATTCAGTAGGGGAATTTTTTGTTACTCAGCTCGTATTTGGAAACCAGACTTTTAATCCGGCTCATATTCAATAGCACTGATCCTTGAACTCGTAGAAATGGATTGGCGAAGGTTTGACATCGCTGTGTCTTTTCGTTTTCGAGTTACACGAGGAACAGACGGGCAGGCAGACGTACAAAACCATCACGTAAGAGGAATTTCGAAATAATTAAATTGCTTTACCCTACTCTACATTCAACATTGTAATCAATAACATTATGGTTGGTAATTTGTTATAGTTTTGAGTAGAAAAATTATGCAAAAACAGTTTAATGTTAATTTGCCCTCGAATTTGCCTTACGCACTGTAATTTTTATCACCCGTACGTTAGTAAGGGAAGTATTGCATTGGGGTAAAAAATGACCCCCCACTTTTTAGGGAAATACACGTTTTGAAACACCAGGATTCCGAATCCAACAAAATTTTGATGATGTCGGTCTATCTGTACTGTTATTGTAACCAAATTTGGTACCTACACATATTCTTAGATATAAAAGGAAGAGCTGAAAAGCTTTCGGGGAGAATCGCGCATGCGCAAAGTGTTAAACTCTCATTAATAGTGCTATTAATTTCATTTTTTTTTTCAGTAGACTACTGTGTTTTGGTCATTGAGATAATGCTCTTGGTCTTTTTCCCAACGATCTTGGTGCATAAATAACGATTTTCACATGTTTTGATCAAAATCCACGTGGTCGCCAAAAATGTATTGGTCATTGAGATAATGCTCTTGGTTTTTTCCTAATGATCTTGGTGCATAAATAACGATTTTGACATGATTTGATCAAAATCCACTTGGTCGCCAAAAATGCATCAGATTCATGTCTTGGGCATTGAGATAATGCCCCTAGTCTTTTTCGCAACAATTTTTGTGCATAAATAACGATTTTGACATATTTTGGTCAAAATCCATGTGGCCTCAGAAAAATAATTTAACATCTTTGAATCACACACATGCGGTTATCAAATGTGGACGTGATGTACTCTTTCCGTAGCAAGATAATGCGTTGGAAAGCTTTTACAACTCCAAATTTATGTGTAAAGAATAATTCTGGGTACATTTTGCTCTAAAACTTTTGAGTTATGTTGAATTATTACACATCTAAGAGTCATAGGGAATAATCTAGCGAAAGTCCGAACTTGATACATGACCTAGGGAATGAAATATGTTGATATCTATTATATTGAGCCCGCAGTTTTTCCTGTTCCTGATTCACTCGAAGCCCTATAACTTTTGTTCCTGTTGAACCAGCTTCCTGAAAATCAATAGCGTCCGTCCTTAATGTCCAAAGTACCGGTACACCAAATTGCAACACAATCTGCCACTTTTAAAAAGAGTTAGAGCGCACACGGACGGACGGACGGACGGACGGACAACAATACAAAACTATAAAGGATCTGAGGATCCTTAATAATTACAATGGGGCCTATAATGTAATTACAAATGTTTTAATCGTAATTACTCACTTTCACAGTGGATGGAAACATTATCATCTAGCCGCTTCCGACATACGTTGCAAAATTTCCTTTTGTGATGAAATGGTTCTGACCAACAATGAGCAACCGGATTCTGCAAAAGAAACAGAAATCAAAATATGGACACCATAGTTCATTATTCTGTATACCAACCTTGATCAGACTGGCGGCGATGCTGGAACACGGGGACACCACGGTTTTAAAGCAGCGATCATGCACTACGAAGTTGCAAACTGTAACAAATAAGTACAGGTAAATGTTGTGGTCCTTCAGTAGCATAATACGTAAAATGAAATTGTCTTTGAGAAAGTGTTAGAATCTTTTCAATATTCATATTTCTTAATCTATTTTTTAGTTCCCAACACTTTTTCAACGAAAATTTAACTTATTCATTCGAAAGTTACACAAAACTTCATGTGACTGAATCCCCTAAAATTATTTTTCTTGCGTAGGCATATGCTGTCAATACATAAACAGCATATTTTAATTAGTTTACCAGGAACGTAGGAAAGTTTAGAAATTTAGTTTGGTCTCGGTAACTGGTGTAGGTATGTGGTCTTTACCTGACATAAAAACTTCCTTCATATTGGTTAAATTGATCTCATTATTCTAAAGTGCAAATTAGTGCAACATCAGTCGACTATAAAGGACATTCAAAGTATCGTTTATAGATTTAATAGGTTGTGTCAGTAGGTACTTTAGCATCGATATCGACAAACCAGAAAGTTTTCGTCCCTACACTGCAGGCCCGTAGCTCGAATGAAGTAGCAGGGGTGGCTGGTATTTTTTTAGGTGGAGCTTAAAAAGTTTTGTTAGAGACTTCCCTTAAAATTTTTGTAAAAGAACCATCAACCGTAATTTCCAGAGGGGGAAAGGCCACGTTCTAGGTGGAGCTCAACTACGGGCCTGCTACACTGCCTAAATTCTATGAAATTCACATAAGTAGAGGACAGAATGGTTGTAGGTCTTTATAAAAACTGGTAAATTTCGATGCGAATGACAAAATTCTCGAACATTTAAAAAGCCATTCCTCGCCATTTATTTTCAGACGTACATAGACTAAAAAAACCCTTAGTTAGTCCATGAGACGTATTATTGCAACGGATTTCTCTACAATTTCAAATGTCCGATTTCAAAATTCAAGCTGCAAATACCGTTTTTCTACAATCGATATCCAAAGTAGGCATTTGCGCTCGTATTTGACAACGCAAACGTCATCTTTTTCGAGGAATGTCACTTTGTCGCTTATAAGCGACAAAATAGAAAAAACGCTCGCTCTCCCAATTATTAACTATAAATCAAATATACATTGCTCAGGGTATCCAATGACAACGAGTAAATGACATCTTTCATTTGGGCATAAGATTAAAATGATTTGTGTGAAAAATTTAAATTTCTGGAAATATGTGAACTGCTCGATTGTAGAAAAAATCTTGTGTGTAATTCGAGCGCAAATTGATTGTCGATTTCAAGAGATTGCCGCGCTCCTTCGTCGCGCGTCAACTTTCTCTTTCAATCGACAATATATCATTTTGCGCTCTTAATACACAAATAGCTATGGCGTCAATATAGACACCACGTTATCGTTTAAAAATACGTTAACCTTTAACGAGAATGCAGTGATTTTGCGACAATAGAACAATTTTTATTCATATGCTGATATGCAACGTTTTAACAATAAGCCAGTCTTGCAATGGTATTGCATTTGCACCTTGTAGGACATGCAGGTTGATTATAAATGCAGCGTCAATGTCATTTTTGCCATCAGCTGTACACTTCTGTTTTGTACAGGGTGTTTTTTTGGGAGCTTTAGTTAAAAGTTTCTGGGAAAGTAAAATAGGTAGGTTTTTGAAAATTTGTACTTAGGAGTTACTCTGAAGGCTGAATCGATGTAAAATATTTTCAAAATGGCCGCACTTCCGGAAACACCGGAAGTAGATAGTAACTTCGTTATTTTAAATGGCAACCCCTATTATTGCTTTTTTGGATTCTACGTGAAATTTCACTTCTTTTGATACCCATATGTCGATATCTACCATTTATGGTTTTTAAGTTATTTTGACTTTAAGAAAAAAAATGGCGGATGCAGATGGTACCTTGATAATTGATTACTTGCAAACGGTTGTAGTCATGGCAACCTATTTTTATCAGTGCATAGAGAATGAATAGGGCTTTCTTTTAGTGCACTTAAAAAAAAGTTAAGTTGCGTACGACCGCCCCTATGGATATCCAAATTTATGAAACTTCAAAGACTAAAAACTCAGTTTTTTTTAATGGAATGACCATGTTCTTACTATTCCATGAGATAGAGAATCGAAATGGGCATATTTTGACAATACATGTTCCTATAGCTATCTTTAACAGTTTCTGACTTATTCCCATTTTATTGAATTGACACTATTTTTTTAGGATTTTCTTTTTTAGTAGTCGGCCATGATTCTATAACAATTGAATTTTAAACAAATCTAGTGACACTAATCCATCACCCACTGTTATAGGTTAACATAAGTTTTTCAAAAATCGAAAAATGACTCGCAGTGGTTTCACCTATTTTGGAATTTAATTGTTATTTATGGTGAAATGGGCAGAATCGCGGCGCGTGCTTTCCGTATATTCATTCGAAAACTAGAACGAAATTGTATGAATTTTTGAAATTTTGTACCCCTAATGCACTACAAACCGTTGAAGCACAAGTTATACAAAGCTCTACAAGAGAATATTTAAGAAAATGAATTGAATTGCAAATGCAAGATTAACAAAATAAATTCAATGCAAAATATAAAAAACTTTGTTGAAACATTTTTGGTATGGAATTTTTGCTAGAACAGATATCGCATTACCTCTCTTAATTTCCAGACTTATACGTTGTTTAAGAAATTCAGTTGAACGACTCTGTTTAGATTTTTCAAAAATTTTCTGTCCTATATCCTTATTAAATGAGTTATTTATTAATGAATTATTTAGACTAGAACTAGAATCAGTGGTATTAAAGAATCCATTCCTTGATTTGTTTAAAATTCGATTGTTATAAAATCATGGCCAACTACTAAAAAGAAAATGCGAAAAAAAAATGGCATCAATTCCGAGATCAATTCAATGAAATGGGAATAAATCAGAAACTGTTAAAGATAGCTATAGGAACATGTAATATCAAAATATGCCAATTTCGATTCTCTATCTCATGCAATATTAAGAACATGGTCATTCCATTTAAAAAAACTGAGTTTATAGACTTTGAAGTTTCTTAAATTTGGATCTCCATAGGTGCGGTTGTACGCAACTTAACTTTGTTTTAAGTACAGTAAAAGAAAGCCCTATTCATTCTCTATGCACTGATAAAAATGGGTTGCCATGACTATAACCTTTTTCAAGTAATCAATTATCAAGGTACCATCTGCATCCGCCATTTTTTTTCTTAAAGTCAAAATAACTTAAAAACCATAAATGGCAGATATGACATATGGGTATCAAAAGAACTGAAATTTCACGTAGAATCCAAAAATGCAATAAAAAATAGGGGTTGCCATTTAAAATAACGAAGTTACTATCTACTTCCGGTGTTTCCGGAAGTGCGGCCATTTTGAAAATATTTTACATCGATTCGGCCTTCAGAGTAACTCCTAAGTACAAATTTTCAAAATCCTACCTATTTTACTTTCCCAGAAACTTTTAACTAAAGCTCCCAAAAAAACACCCTGTATAATTATACAAATTTCGATTGGACAGTGTACTTTGTGCTGTAACAAAAGGTAATGTACTTAATTTTAATTATTCAGTATATTGTTACCAGGATTGTTACTGAGCGGTAGGTAGGTAACCCTTCATGTTTCACTGTAAATTTTCTGACCATTGATTTGTTTTGTAAATTGCCATTTGTTAATTTCCATTTAGATCGATTAGCGACTTCAATTCTTTGGTGTATGAATCTGCCTTTTTTGAATGTAACTAACTTTTCTACCATACAGTGCAGACGTAGGTAAATGTCAAAGTTATAAAAAGTTACTTAACAGGATTCATTTCGAACCACAACATTAGTTTAAGAGCGGCCGTATCCAGGGCCTTAGATACCTTCTGGATTGGAGGAGGTCCGACTAATTAACGATGTATTTTTATGTAACAAACTGCGAGATGTTTCACAACTTACAAGTGGGAAAGGATGTTGAGTTGCTTTTAGATCTATTTGCGCCACTTTCAAACTTATCAAATTTTGTATTATAGATCAACGTCTGGTAAAAGTTACTCCTCAGATTGGTGATTTTTGCATATTGTAGATATGATATTGAATGTGTATTTAACGTTGTCCTACAGTTACGTACCTCTCTTTCCCCCCATTTTTATTATCTGTGAACAAACGATTCGGAGTTTTCTGCAGCTCGATTTATCCTCCGAAGTGTTCTAGGTTGGTATTACTAATTTACTACATTGGTGTTCGTAGTTTCCCGCTCATTGCTGGAGCGAAAGCTTTTGACTTAGTTCTGTCACACCAGTGACACCCTGTATATCGCTACGGCGGAAGGGGTATCTAGGCATTTTGAGTTCCAACTTTGCTACAGGCCCGTGGCTTTAATTCAGAGGCTCCATTACAACAAGACAAAGACACATGTAACACGTCAACCCCTCCATTGAAGCAACGCTGATTTCAAGTAGAAGTAAAATTAACTTGTCACCACGCAGTTCAGACTAGAGCCCTTTGTACTATTCCTTATGGGGACACAATAAATAAAAGGTTATGCAATAAACCAAGAAGATTGATGGAATGATAGGAGAAATATTACAGCACACATATCATCGGTAACTCAAGCTTTATATCATGAGGCACTAGAAAATCTTCACTCAAGCTCAGCTACCAGGGAAGCAATAGAAGACGATGAAAAATAATTGTTGCGTAAGAGAGTATTAAATGCACTTATCCTTTCCGAACATCGTGTATGACCACGAGATAAGTCATTGCACAAATCACATGCTACAGATCACAATGAAAAAGTTACCGGTTGTGTGAATATAAGGTGTAGCGGGAGAGCGCGCTGCTGGACGTTTATTTGATTCGCATTCAAATGTTAAGCAAGTCAGCCACGACCCTAGCGCTACAGTTTTAGAAGGCGAACGGTGTTTGTGGATTGATATGATTTTGATTTCTATTTTTTTCAATTATGACATTTCTTAATTGTGATTTTTGGGGATATTAGTCTTACCATGGATTAAATTAAATTTAAATATATGGTCTTACACATGG